GTGATGTGGTTGATTTAAAAAATTAGGCTTCTGCTTTTAGTTTAGCTGGGGATAATATAGCTTTGTAGTTAATACAATTGCAAAGCATCTCCTAATTTCTTGACATGCTACTTGGATTAAAATGTCAAGAAAATGCTTTAAAAATGGTAACCAGAGGGCTTAGGGCTGGACTTGCCATATTAATGAGAAGAAGTTGGCAGGAGGTACCATGATATTAACTTTGTCAATGTTATATCTCTATATCCTGTAAGACTCACTGATACATAGAAAGTTAAGGCTTTGTTCCCACTATAGCTACATTATTTTGCTAAACACAAGACTCATTTGGTGAAAAAATTCTTACCAATCAGCTTGACTAAAATGGTAGCCAGGTTAGACAAAACAGTGACTTTAATAGTATTTTATAAAGTTACAATTTAAATCAGTTTTCAGTTTCATGTCTTATTCAAAATGAAGATATTTGGACCCTACCTCGACCTTGACCCAGTGAACCAGAATTTCTTAGAGGAGTTTCTCAGAACTTATATGCATAATAAGGTTTGAGAACCTCTGGCTGAGACCCTGTAATAATATTTGAGCACAAATCGGCATTGTGTAGGAAAGCAGAGGAAAGTTTTGGATTAATATTAGAAGCCCAGATGTTTGTCTGGGTTCTGCCTCTTACTGGTGGTTTGATTTTTATAGTCATTGAGCCTCCCTGAGCATTTAGTTTTTCATGTTTACCCATCAGGGTTGTTGTAGGAAGCCAAGGTGATAGTGCACACAAAAACACTTTTTCATCTGTAAGCAGTGATACAAATGTAAGATAGCATTATTCTGATGGTTATGGTTAATACAAACTCTTTAAATAATAATCCAACTGGTCTAATAGAGTTGTTTCTTTTCCCATATAATGTTAACCATTAAAGGACATAGTCTAGGTATCACAACAGAAAATGCATTATGGAATACAACCAGGGTGGGAAACCAAGCAGCGAAGGCAGGTGGGCGTGGCCAGCATCTCAGGTCTGAGCTGATCTGAATTGATCTGAGCAAATGGGGGTAGTGCTCTGAAGCAAGGTGGGGTCCAGTAACAACTGTTGGGTGGTACACCTACAGAGAGATTAAATTGCACGGAAAGCAGATGGAAAACTTATGTCTAAGTCTACCCAATAAAAATCTAGAAGCCATAAAGACAACGAGCTGAACATAAATCAGGCATGGAGTCCTACAGCTGGAGCAGGAGGCTGAGCCCTGGAATGCACAAAAGGACATGAAGACATCTTTTATTTTATTTTATTTTTTTATACTTAGGGCAAGACCTCTTTAGGGCACCAAATCCAGTTCTTGGCCGGCTCATCAATAGCACTTGTTAAAAATAAAATTAGAAGACAAGCACAAATGTAACAATTTTTTTTTTTTTTGGAAAGTAGAACTTTTGATCAGAGGACCAGAGAAAAGGAAACAAAGAACCCCTCCCATGAATATTTTCCAGTTACTGAAGGGTGAGCCTGGAATAACATCAGAGCGTTATGCAAGCATTGAGGTTGTCCATCAGTTGCATAAGAAAAGGGTCATTCTTACCACCCTCCATATCTCCTGAAATATCATAAGCCCTCTGATCATTCATTCATTCAACAGATATTTTTGGAGTACTTTTTTAATGTGTCAGACACTGTTTTAGTTAGCTGCTGGAGAAAGAAGAAGGAGCAAGGCAGATATGGTTCATGCCCCCAGGAAGCTATGCCTGTTCAGTGCAACATGCGCCTACTGTAGCTGGTTGGCCAAAGAGGCCACAGTGATTTCCCTCCTTATACCCACACCCCTTTGCAATGCAACTGCAGCTCCTACCATCAGGAGGTAAGGTCTGTTTTGCCACCCCTTGAACCTAGGGCCTGGGACCACCATGAGGACAGCAGGGCTAACGTGCTGAAGGATGAGGATCCATGCGGAGCTTGCCACTCTTGCAGGGCTCATCCCAGCTCAGTTAGCTGACAGCAGTTCTGCCAGTGGCAGCTGCCCCTCGGGTGAGCCTGGCTAAGGCCGGAAGAACATTCTAGCCCAGCCCAGCTCAAACTACCGATCTACGGAAGTGCAAAATATGTGAATGGTTGCGTTAAGCCACCATGTTTTGGAATGATTTGTTATGTAGCAAAAGCTGACCGAGTAGCCCTTAACTATGTAATTATGAGGCAAAGTTTATTTGGGGCACAGACTTTTCTCATACGGCTTATCAAATTACCTTGATAACTGCCAACTCTTCATTTTGCGCTGTAGGGACATGGTCTCAGTGTACAGTTGTCAGAATACAGACACCCTGGGAAGGTTTGATATTGGATCTCTGATCTGCAGAATATGAAGTGGACTAATGCACTTGAAACATGACATATAATCTATTTCTTGGAGAAAATACAAATATATAGGTGGGACATAAACATCTACAACAGTACCAACTCCAAACAAACAGTCAAAAAGTTCATGCAAATCCAATTAGCTTTGCTTCGCAATATAATGGCTCATGGTGTCAAAACAAAAACATGAATGAACAAACAAAAAACCCAAAAACCTGTCTGTCAGATTCTGAATTTGTCTGACTAGCCAACTATGTCCTATAGACACAGCCATAAAGTGTCTGATTTTTCCTTCAAATAATTTCATGATTTTGATATCTTATTGAAACTCTCACCAAAGGCTTATGTATCGTTCCAGATGTCTGTGTGTAACCGCCTAACGATGACACATCAGTGGAGATGAGTGGAGCGATCTTTGATTTATCTTAATTTTCAAATAAGTCAGAGTGTCTTTTCCTCTTTTCCTGTCAGCCGCTCTTCTCTGTCCAGCCCTCCCAGCTGGGCATTTTGGGAAAGCAGCCAATTCCACGGCTAATGTGTTTCTGCTGTTATCTGATCCCGATGCTGCTTCAGAGAGACAGCAATGAAGATAAGCCCTAAGTGGATGTATTTTTAAAGCAAACCTTTTAGTTACTTAGAACAGAGCTTCCTCAATTAGCTTCCTTTCTCTTCTCTCTGGCTGTGCAGGAACCACACTAATGTGAAAATGCTGGATCTGGATGGGAGTCAAGAGCCGGGTCGGGGCAACTGAAGGACAATCATACTGAACTCAGGAGAAAGGCTCCACCAGAGAGGCTGGGAGCTGTGTTTCCAGGAGAGCAGGTGAGGAAAGGACACTGAGAGAATCAGACGTGACAAGAGGCCCTGGCAGTGGTCCAGGGTAAGGCTACCCACAGCCACATCCCAGCGTGCCTGCAAGAGAGGGAAGGTGGGGCAGGCCCCAACTGAGCAAGAATCAATATATAGAGTGTTCCATCCCTGTGCTCCAAAGGAAGTGCTTTGTTCCAAGGCAAAATGTGTTAACCTTGGTTTAGGATTGAGAGTTTTAAATTGCATTCTGCAATATATTATCCTCCGGTCAAAGAAAATCTATCTGAATCCCTACCCTCTTTAAGTTACTCACAAGCTTTTGATAGCTGCCGAGAGGGAGAGCTGCTGAGAGGGAGAGCTGCTTAGTAGAAGAAGCAGGTTTAGAGGGGTCTCGATGTGGAAAAAATAGAGAGAAAAGAAGCCGTGTGGAAAAACATTTCTTCTGTCTTTACTCAGTCTGAAAAGGAATTAGAAGTGACACAAAGTAAAGTAGTAATTTCCCTTTGGTTGGCAGTGGGTTGGCCATCATCAGCTTATACTGCCTAGAGGGCCCAAATTCCAGTGTTCCTTTTAGCATGATTTAATATCAGAGGTGTGAGGATTAGCACCCCCTATGGCAGACCATGTGGGCCTCCTTAAGCTGGGCCTGTTGTCAGTAGGAAAGGGTAAACCTGGGTGGGGCTGGGCTGGGCTGGGGGCCGGTAGTGGGCGTGGGGGAGACAGAGTGGAGCCTGGGGAAAAAAAAATGGAGAGGAGGCAGCCGCTCTGTACTGTAAGGCTCTTCGTCTGCCTCCTCAATTAGACTTCTAGTCGTTTTTATGGAGGCATCTGTTCTCTGAGTCCTGGCCTCTGACCAGGTTCTGACTCAAGGATTTACTTCACTGGAAGTTCGAATTTGAGTTCTGTGTTATAAATTTGCGGAGGCTTTTTTGGATTTTTGGATGCTGACGCTATTATTTGAAAGTTTACTTATTTAATTAATATTAAGAGTTAAGTGATATGTTTGATTTACCTTCTATCAGATTCCAAATTTTGCACATCATTGGTTTATCAAGATCATATTAACTTAGAGACAAATTTTTCTCTTTTCTGATTCTCCTGTGATTATAATACTGTGTATAAATCTTGCCTCTCCCATGCAGGCTGCCCTCTGTACTCTGCACATAGGAATATAGCTTCCAAAAAATAGTCACTCCTCACCCTATTAACTTTAACTGGTATAATGACTGTTAAAAAGTAAGTTAGTTCTAATAATTAAGTAATATGTTTGATGTTTCCTTTAGAGTTCAGGTATAAAGATTGACAAACCAATGGCTGAACAAGTTAGGACTGGCTATTTTTTTTTTTTTTTTTTTTTGGTCTTTTCTCCTTTGCTGTGACCCTGACTTGCTGGAAACATCTGGCACCCATCACCACAGTGAGTGAAGTGATGACCTTTTCCGTTTAACCACAGAACCAGAACAGGACTGACTTGCAATGATACGCATGAAACATAAACGTTGGGGAAAATGAGAAGAATTGTAGAATAGCATCACTTTCACAATGTGCTAACATCATTAATTTTGCATAGAAGCAACAGCTGTGAAGATACTGATTTTTGGCAGCTTTATGAATTTCTAGGGGGTGTATCTCTAAATAAATACATACAGATACATAGGGCTGTTTATATAATGTGAAGCACCTCACCTCTCTGTCACAATGACCATAATTTGCTATTCTCCTCCCTCAGTCCTCACAGGGGGAGAACCTTCATCCCTTCGTTACTGATTCACTTCTAATGGATTAAAACTTGGATTGGTACAAACTCTATAATTTTTATGTCATCCCCAGTAGGTGTACCCAATTCTAGAAGCTGCATACCTGATGGTTAGTCCTATCCACTGTATTGGCCGTGGAGGGGTGGTCTCTAGTGTTCTGACGGACTCGAGTGGAGTTTTGTTGCTCAATGGTGGAGGAAGTTGGGATACAGAACTCTCTGAAGCATCGTTTGAAGTTTTCATCCAGAAATGCGTAAAGGACAGGATTTAGGCAGCTGTTTGTGTAACCTAGAGCAATGCAGAAGTGCCAGGAAACGGTCTGGAATGTAGTTTCCGGGATTGTAATCAAGGCTTTAATGATGACATAAATGTGAATGGGAGTCCAGCAAACAATGAACACAGCCACAACCACCAGCACCATTCTGGTGATTCTTCGCAGATTCCTGTCCTTTTCTTTGGAGCCAGAGAGCATACGGACACTCTTGAGGCGTAAGATCATCAGTCCATAACACACTGTAATGATGAGGACAGGCATGATGAAGGCAAAGATGAAAACACAAATTTTCAGCAGGTTTTCCCAGTACCAGGTTGGGTGAGAGAATGTGAGGGTACAATCTATGGAACCTGGAAAACAATAATTATAAGGAAGAATTAGCAGCAGCATCTAATTATAGCTTTGACCAGAGCTAACTTAAATCCATTAAGGGAAGCCAATAAGGGAAGATTTAAAGAAATTGAGGGAGAAGCTCAGCTCTCTGTTGATTTTCAGGGAGAGTTATTTTTAGATTTTTTTCCTAAATATCTCATTTTTTGTCCATTTTCATCACATGAAGCTTTCATTCAGTCAACAATTGTGGAACCTTTTACTGTAAGCTAGATCCTCTATGGGTCTATGCTGACATAAAAAATACAATCACTGTCCAAAATCTATAGGAGTTTCCAGCTAATGGATATTTTCATTCCATTTTTGATGGGTGGTTCATCGTTCTGATATGAGGACTAGAAAAATAAATTTGTCATGTTAGCAGCCACTTGAAATTTTAAAACAACTTAATGTTTTTTTGGGTTTAAGTCTAATCATTCTTGCAAGAGCTATATTTTTAGTTTGCCCTCATTTTGATGAAGTCAATGCAGAGAAATCAGGAAACAATAGATTACATTCTCTTTAAAATGTTTAGGTGTGCTTAAAATTTAGGGGAGAATTCCTATTACAAAAGATTCAAAGACATTCTGTTAGGAAAAAATCACCGGTATTACAATTTGACTAAGAAGTTGGACCACTCATGACTTCACCAGCATGTCAGTCTATAAACCCTTCATCCCTCAGGTCTGCAACTTACCATGCCTGTACTTTGTTGTTGCCATGAACATTACAGGCAAACCAATGGCTGAAGAGAGGATCCAGTTGCAGACATTGACAATTTTGGCATTGCGGGGAGTACGGAAATCCAGGGCTTTGACGGGATGGCAGACTGCGATGTAACGGTCGACACTCATGGTACAGAGGGTAAAGATGCTGGTGAACATATTATAGTAATCTATGGAGATCACGATCTTGCAGAGGATGGTTCCAAACGGCCATGTACCCATTAGGTAATTGACACTCTGGAAGGGCAGGGTACTGGTTGCTAAGGCGTCTGCTAGAGCAAGGTTGAAAATGTAGATGTTGGTGGCAGTCTTCATTTTGGTGTATCTAGGAGGTGAAAGAGGAGTGGTGGCAAAGTCAGAAAAAGACCAGTGTGAAATGTAGGCAAGCTTCTGATAATAAAATATATTGCAAGGGTTAGTGGAAAGCACTTGAGATTAGATATGGAAGAACTTTTTTTTGATACTAGATTGGCTATTCATGACCATGTGTCTATGAACTAAATACAGTTTCTCTACCTATCAGTTTTATAATCTGTAAGATGGCCTTAATATCAGCTGCCATACTGATTTATTAAGTTTCTTTAAGGTGCCAGGCACCGTGATAGATGTAATAGACACAGGGAGTGCTCAGTCATATATCCAAGTCTACTGATATTCATAAAATGAATATAAAATGAGTGATAATTCACTTTAACTCTACATATGTAAAAGAAAAATTTCAGATATATATAGTTAAAATTATGGAAAAGTGTAATCATGCAAGAATGTGTATGTATATATATACCAATGTAATAGTGCAAGTGTGTTTATATGTATGTATAAATACATATCCATGTATACACAGACACACACACACACACAGACTATAATGGTGGCACAAGAAGAAATGAAGGAGTAAGATAAGGGAAGAAGGAAGGTATCTTGGAATTGTAAATGTGCAAGTTTAATCTTACACTGGTAAGTGTAGGTTATTCTAGATAGAACACCTAAATAAAGGCATAGAGTTGAAATAGCATGATGTGTGTGTTTTGGCACTGCCAAAAGGTAAAATCCCACCAGAAAATGGCAATAAATCTGATCGGGTAGGAATACAGAGGCCAGTTCATGGAGGGATTTGTATGCCACGGTAAGAAGCTTGAGCTTTATCCAATCCATGATGAGGAAGCTAATGCTGTTTGTTTTGTTTTTATTTTTTAATAGCTTTATTGAGGCATAATTGACATACAATAAATGGCATGTAATTAAAGTGTACAATTTGATAAGTCTTGACATATGTACACACTTGCGAAACAATTATCTTAATCAAGATCAGGAATTGGCAAACTGCAGCCTGCAGACTAGGTTGGGCTGCTGCCTGTTTGGTTGGAACACACTCACATTCATTTAATTACTTCTTATCTATAGCTGTTTTGATGATGCAGTGGCAGAGCTGAGTAGTTGTGACAGAGACCATATGGCCGGCAATGGCTAAAATATTTACTATCTTGCCCTTTACAGCAAAAAATGACAATTCTTGATCAAGATAATGAACATCTCCATCACCCTCAGAAATTTCCCTGTGTAGCTCCTAAATCTTTCCATCTTCCCTTCCCTGACTTGACTCCCCACCCATAGGCAATCACTGATCTTGATCTGCTTTCTCTCATGATAGGTTAGTTTTCATTTCTAAAATTTTATGTAAATAGAATCATTCAGTATGTACTCTTTTTTTGGTCTCGCTTCTTTTGCTCTGCATAATATTTTGAGATTCATCCACATCTTGTTGCATGTATCAATAATGCATTCTTTTTTATTACTAAGTATGTATATGATTATTATTATTACTGAGTATAGATATGATTGTGTGGTTATGCCAGACTTGTTTATCCATTCATCTATTAATGGGAATTGAGTTGCATCTCCTTTTTGTATACTGAAGGTTATCTGTTATGAACATTAATTAAGTCTTTGCGCAGAAATATGTTTTTCTTTCCCCTGTCTGAATATCTAGGAGTGTTATATGTTTTCAAAGCCATAGAAATTAGAACTTAGAAGAGATGAGCAGCTAAAATGACAACACTAATAAATTAATATATGATGGTAGAGGAGTACCTTGCTAATGTGTTGTCCAATTGTCAGATGTATCTGACATTGCACATCTGTTCACCTTAATGTTAGGAACAGTACTCAATTTCACTTGGGAAACAACGCCTTTTCCATGTTTAGTCTGTAGGCTTTGTAATGGGCTCTATTACTAGTTCAATGCCTCAAGATGTAAAGTGACTGGGGCCATGGTGAATGTTCAGAGCTGGTCTCATGTTTCAACCAGAGCCAATAAAATTTTGGGGAGACTTGTGAAGAAAGAGTATACCATTTTTAGATAATTAAACCTGAGAGAATGTAAGGTTGTTGGAAGAGCCTGTCTGAAAGTGGATCCCATACAGAGGATGTGGATTTGAGAGAGCAAAAGAGGAATATCTACCTGAAGCCTTGGACTTTTTTGTTTATGTGGTACAATCATTCTCTTTAAACTTTAGCCTGTGTATATTTTTCAGTCCCATGAAATTAAGAAACTAACTCATTTAGCCCAAGATAGGTGTTGGTTGGAGGAAATAATATTAAGGACTCATTTTTTTAGGGCCTTAATTCAGTGTTCAGGAAAGTTTGTTTGGTTTCAATAAGCACTAAGAAACTGAAGTTATATGAACCCTCTCAGAGTCAACAGGCTCAAATTATTTATTTGAGCTCTAAAATTCTGATACCCCAACTTGTCTGTCAAAGTTGCAGAAGTTGCGTTAATGCCCGAAAGTCAGATCTGGGGACTTTTTTTTTTTTAAGATTTTATTTATTAGAGAGAGAAAGTGTGACACAGAGCATGAGCAGAGGGGGAGAGACAGAGGGAGAGGGCGAAGCAGACTCCTCGCTGAGCAGGGAGCCTGATGTGGGGCTTGATCCCAGGACTCTGGGATCATGACGTGAACCAAAGGCAGATGCTAAACTGACTGAGCCACTCAGGCACCCCAGTTGTGGGGCCTTTTGAATTGCTTTAGAAATTTTATTCCTTTAAAAGATTTGAAAAGGAAAAGGTAGAGAAAGCCATTTAACTTGAGGAGGTAAACCAATCTGATGTTAGTGAGGACTCTAAATGTGGCAAACATAAAAAGGTAATTCAGACAAGATCCGCCCAAGTCCAACAACAAACAAATAAAAACAAAATTAAAACTATGACTTTAGGGATTTTAGAATAACTGACCTGGATGCCCAAGAAGTTAAACAATTTTGATATTTATAAAAATAAATTTCTCCCACAAAGAAGGAAAAAAAAACCTTATTAGTTACACCACGGATAATAGACCTGCATGATACAAAAGCGTGCTTGAGTGCCTTGGTCACTTTCCTGCCCAGCCGACCTTACATTTCACATCTTATCTTTAAGAGTGTATTATGTTAAATACTCAGGTTCTTTACTGTCAGTTTCATGACTCAGAATACCTCTAACCTTCTCTTCAGGCTCATCTTAGCACTAGGTATTTACTGATGTATGTTTATTTCAGTCAAAAAAATTTTTCTCCCCTGGAATGAGATGTTTGTGAAACAAAATTAGGTTAGGGTCCTACATCACAGGAGGAAAAGTGAGTATCTACAAAAGCTGTTTCAATTGACATTTTACAGGAACAAAGTTGTTTGAATTTTCTCAATTTATCCAAAGAGCCTTTCTCTAAAGATAGCCAGGGTTCTTACCCCAATTACTCACACTTTGAGTCACAGCAACATATAAAAGAGGGCTTAGCAATTTCCTAAATACGTGTAAGAGAATTATACAAGACCAAAGATTTGAGAATTCCAGTTGCCTCCAACATGTCTCTAAAGGCTTCAAATCTAATGGGACAGTCTGATCAGAAAAGGGGTCATGCAGTCCAGCAAACATGAGCGTTTCATTCTATTCTGTTCTGATGCAGTGGTATTGACGTTGCCTCAGAAAAGTTACATGAAAGTCGGAGTTACATTATAAGTTATAGGAATATACAAACCAGTGTTAGCAAACACGACAGTGAGCTAAAGGAAGGACCATCTTTGTGCTCAGTTTACCTGAATGGACCTGAGTAGAGCCCCTGGATATTAACACATAAGCCTGTTGCCATCCTTTGTACCTATTCCTTCTTATTGTGCCATGAATGAGTCTGGTGACAAAATGGACAAAATGACATGGGAGGGATACAGGGCATGTCCTTGGAGTGTTTCTCCTGGACTCACATGGCCTTTCTCACCTTGGCGGGTTTACCGTGCCCACTGAATTGGGGCTTTTCCTCAAGGCAGAGGCTGAAGCTATTTTTTTTCTTTCTAATATGTATTTTTAAAAACCTGTTCCAGGTGATTGAGTAGCTTATTTTCTATACAAATTCCATTACCATGCAATTATTATTTTTGAAAAATTATAGTCTCTGGACCTTCAGTGTTTGACCTGTTTTATGGAGCTTCCAGATGCTGTGTTGGGGGAGGCATTATGAATCCCATTTCATTGGCAGCTCAAATAATCTCCCAGGTTTCATAAACACTTTTTATCTGTAAATGCCCTTCTTTTCTTTGTGGTTATAAAAGAATTCCTATTTACTTTCAGACCCATTCTTGGTGTCATTTTTGCAATTATTACTACTTGCCAAAACATCATTGATTTTGACCAACATATGTTAAATGAAGCCACACTGAATAAATTACTTGTGTATACCCAATGGGCTTTACAAATCTTTTGTTATTGTTTTGTTTTGAGTTAATTTTTGAACTGTGATGGCCTTGTCTCTGGCCAGAAAAAAATGACCAAGGAAACTTGAAAGGAGGAAGAACATATTCTAGAATCCAGCTTGTCAGTTTTGTACCATGTCAAGCCCTTCACATTGCTCCGCTACCTTCTCTAGAAATTCATAACAGAGCCAATTAGGATGTGCTGAAGACTTTCACCTCTTTTTGGTCTAATTTTCTGCTCTTTCATGTTTTTACCAAATGGAATTTTTCTCTCTTTTTTCCTGTTTGTTAATCCCAGTGAAGTAGAAAGTTATCTAATCCAGTAAGGATTCAATGAGTCCTTTCCAGCACTGTGCTTGGAAAGATACTTTTCTTCCATCTGCCCTGACTTTTTTATCTATCCATCCTCACATAAAGAAATTCACAACTTTAATAGAGAAAATAAATTATTAATTAGATGAGCAAAGTGGTCACATGACTACCTACTTAAATTTCTCATTTATTGTCCATTTCATTCTGATATTTCAGGCAAGCATGTGTATGTATTTGTGTGTGTGTGTGTGTGTGTGTGTGTGTGTGTGTGAAAGAGAGAGAGAGAGAGAGAGA